CGTTTCGCGATCAGCAACTATAATGTTCGTACGTGTTTTAACACTGGACGGTGGTTAAAATATCGTACGACGCTTTGTTAAAATTCCGACAAGTGTTCGGTAATTATATTGTTCACGAAACGATATTTTTTGGGAGATGGTATGACTCCCCGTTGATTATGTTCGAAGTAATATTCGAAGAATATTTATTAGAATTTTATAAAATTCTTTTCTCACATTTTGAGTAAATTTTAGGAAAAATTATTTTCGAAGATCAATTTATTCTCATACTTCGTTATTGGCCAAATATTAAACAACCCCAAGCTCAATAAGCGAGTAGGTGTTTCGATGGTACTGTTCGAAGAACGTTTATTAGAATTTTATAAAATTTTTATCTCGTATTTTGAATAAATTTTAGGAAAAATTATTTTTCGATGCAACCTCTTTCGAAAATCAATTTATTCTCGTATCTCGTAATCGGCCAAATATTAAACAACCCCGTGTTCAATGAGCGAATACATGTTTCGATGGTACTGTTCGAAGAACATTTATCAGAATTTTCTAAAAATTTCTTTTCATATTTGGAGTAAATTTTAGGAAAAATTATTTTAGGAAGCAACCCTTTTCGAAGATCAATTTATTCTCATACCTCATTATTGGCCAAAAATTAAACAACCCTGTGTTCAATGAACGAGTACGTGTTTCGATAGTACTGTTCGAAGAATATTTATCAGAATTTTATAAAAATTTCTTTTCATATTTGGAGTAAATTTTGGGAAAAATTATTTTAGGAAGCAACCCTTTTCGAAGATCACTTTATTCTCATGTCTGGACATCTACCAATAAATTATACAACCCCTTTTTCAATTTAAGAAAAAATATTCAATAAGACTACTTTACTGAACAATTTCTGTTCGAGTACGATACAGAACACCCGGTAGATCGCCAGGTTAATTATTCTTAATTTTAATTCGACGCGATACAGAGCTAATGTTCGATGGACACCGTAGCCCGTTCCTCGAAATGGCGTCGAAGGGGCGACAAAGGCGCTTGTCAAACGGAGATGCGAGGGCCACTGTAATGAATCATATCGAAGCAGCGAGCATGCAAATGCACGACAGCAATTTACCACTTTTTAGACATGTAAATTCCTTGAACCCACCCAACAATAGCGTGCAAACGCCGCAAGGTAAGGTTGCGCCGGTGAAAAGAGAGCGCGGCCGGCCACGACGCGGGGTTGCACGGGGTGGTGAAGAAGAAAAAAAAACGGTAGTCCATTATGTGGTTCTATTTGTATTACGAAATCACTCTGTCAACACGGCGACCGAGGAATCGATGTCAGGGTTGCCTGGTCGCGGTGAACGTCGACAAAATTCAGCGCGTTTTTAACGCGATTTCGATCGCCACTCGGCCGAGCAAATCCACGCCCTTGCATAAAGCACCGTGATGGGGTGTGAAACGAATAATCGTAGAAATACTAAACACCGATCTTCTTCCTACGGTTCCCGAATTTAGTCTTCCTTCTTAGCTCATTTTGGGACATTGGTACCCCCGGTGCCACCCTTCCGTCATTTTCTTTAACTCTTTGCACTCGAGGGGCGACCCTCAGTCGCCATTTGATAAATTGTTGAAGATCGATACTGATCAATATGTCAAATTTCAGATAATGTAACGGTGTGAAAAGTATTGAAATCAAATAATTTTACGTATTAATTATTATACGATCTCTTACTTAGTACTCAGAAAAATATCGTCAGTTTTATAGCAGAAAGTCTTTGAAGTCCTACTCTTCTTTTGACCAAAAATCGTCGCAAAATGCAAAGGGTTAAATCCATCCAAAGGTTTAGCCCCTTTGCCTACAATATCGTGTGAGACTCGTGGTAAGGACGGAGCCAAACGCGAAGTAGCGAGAGGCGTGGTTTGTAGATAGGATTCAAAATAAACATCGACAGGCTCGAACAGGCTCGGTCAGCCTCGTGTGTAATTTTCGCTAATCTTTTCCTGTCTCAGTTCCGTGTTATTGTTCGTCGCGTTAGGATGTTATACCTCGACGTGCGACTTTGCTGTTGACCGTGCCACGTGCCATTGGAACTTCGAGAGACTTCGAACGAGAGTACGCTTAGAGGTATTTATTTTACATTCTCACAATTTTCTCACTGTTCTAAGAAAATTTAGAGTGGATGATAGAGTAGTCCGTGGACGATTGTGGAATAGTCAATTTCAGTCACATTTGTAAGTTCCGTTAGACATAGGGAACATATAGGCGTCCATTTTGTCATGGAAATTGGTAATTTAGGTAACTAGGAAAATAGTGATTTAGACGTGCTTCTGCAATGTTTAACACGTTCCATGCCACGTGTACCATTTGTAGTACACGTTAAACTTGATCATAAATGGTACACGCAGACATATTTATTTAAAGCGCTGAAAACATATTTTATGACAAATTTAATTCTGTAAAATTAAAATAACAATTTTTAGCCAAAATGACAAATAATCTAGAGATCATGTCGGGCACGGAACGTGTTAATAATTACGTTTGTTAGTTAGTCTCGTGATTAGTTTTCGTCTTTGTGTTTCGATATTCTTGAAATTGCTCGACGTGTGACAGACTGTGTTGATTATGACCCATTCCATGGGAAAATTGTAGGGCAGGGGGTTAAATATATAAAAGGTATATATAAATATTTGTATCTCGTTTCTATATTCATATACATGTAATTCATATAATTCCGCCATTTTTTCGCGTTGATAGTTACGTTCCTGAAATTCCGCATTGGGCTCCCTGTTATATGTTGCTTATGGAATTTTAAATATTAAAAATTGTATTCATACTGCAAACGAAATATCGTATATTTAAAATCATTGGTAAATAAAGAATCGCTAGAAATTGGAATTATACTAAAAAATAGTCGAGGCTAGGAATTGCTGAGCGATCCTTCGAAACGATTTGACTAAGGACGAAATGATGAAAACGCAATTTGGGAAGTTGGTCGAATACTCTTTGCGAGTGGTATAAAACGGGGTAGAAATTCTCTCGACTTTTTCCCTTCTTTTTACCCTTCAGACGGCGGTGGGACGAAGACTCGCGACTTTATCTAACGGAATTACGCGCCTCCCCGTTTCTACCCCTCGATGCATAGAAATGGCCGTTGAGAGACGGACTGGCGCGGATCTGGGAGCGGGAAAAGGGTCGTCGAAGGGGGTTGATTTGTTCTCCCCTTGATATATGTTCGTCGACGGGCGTATCGTTACGGGGGAATAGAAAGAGAGAAAGGGAGACAGTTCCGGATGGCGCGAGGGAAATTCTCATTACGCGTTCGAAATGGTTGGAAATGTTCCAAACGAAACTACCCTGAACTTGTCCCCGCTCTAACAACGCCAATACAGCCCGCCACTGTATCCCTTCGAATGGAGGTTTGCAATCGCCGGCAGGATATTTTTGCAGACTTCGGGTCAGCTCGGTCGATACACATACCCCTGGAATTTCCGCCAAATTAAGCACACCCTTTCACGATTTCCGGGTTAACGCGGCTGCACTGTTTTCCTGCACCCTGCTGTGCTTTCCGTGCCCAATTATTGCGGACGTTCCGCTGACGTTCTCTTGGCAAATGCCACGATGCATTTTTCCATTTTACACGTTTTCCAAAAAGACTGTCTCATGAAACGTATTGTTTCGGGTAAGATTGAAATTTGTCCATGAGTTTGGTCATTTAAGAATATAGGTCCTTTTGGAGATCGCTAGTTAGAGAGGTTCAGGGTTTCTCGAAGGTAGATGAGAACTCTAAAGAATATATTTATAGTTTGATCATATAGGTGGTCTTATGGTGGTTATTTCCGTGGCCTTCACACGTGTGCAGATACGTCGTCGACTTGGGGTCGCAACTACGAACGGGGAAACTTATTCTTCCTATTTATTCGTCAGACTCGCGTTGGCATGTGACGAGTTTGCTCGTGAGGTTAACAAAACAAAGTCCACTCCGTTTATGTTATAGTTGTCACGTATACAGGGGTGGGAGTTCCCCTGTGTATCGCGTTGCGGCTCGTCAGTTTTCGTATCGATTGGCAAGTCTGACCTAACACTGACACACTTCACTCGCCAAGTCTGACCTCTGTTCCGTATCGACCATTGCCATAATCTTAGGATTTCTACAATTTATCGCGGAACACTTTCGCCAACGGCCATTTTCGGGATTGAACGAGGCACGAGCCGCCCCTTAGCCGTCGACTTCGATTATCGACTCGGTGCTACCCGTTCCTCTTAATCGAACGGTGGCTCGTCGTCGGCGTTAGTTACGGTCAATGTTACCGGATGAAGCAACGACCGGTGGAAAGGCTGGATTTGGGAAAAGTTTTCCTGCAAAATGTCGCAGGAGCATCGGAAGTATAGAAACTCAGTCGAATGTATCGCGGGAAGGTTTCATCGGAGCTGGGGAAACCGTCGACGTGAGGGCAGCATAGGGGAATACGTGAGACGCATTTGACGTGGACGATTGCAGAGTCGCGCTGTCCTCCTATGGAATTTCTCTGAAAGACGTTCGTGTGGAGAATACATAGGGCTACGTTGGTATTTATGAGCCACGAGGATTGGAAAATCGTTAAGGCTCCTCGATCATATTTCTCGTTTAATAAGAACGCTGATCCGGGCGTTAAGAAGGCGGGATTGTTTTTCTGATAAGTCGACGGTTCGTATTCCGAGCATACCAATTTCGAGAGACACTTGAACTACTTCTCGCGCTGATGAAAATCGAACTTCTGCAAGTACGTGCGAAGAATACACAGTCGGATAGACTCGGCTGAGACGGATATCAGAATTATTCTATTTCGCGTATGGAGGCTGGTACGAAAAGAAGTTTTCATTCCGCTGTTATGCCACTCTCGATGGTTTCCGTATCGATTATGGTGGACGGAAATGGGTTTCCTGATACGATGGAAAAAAGTATCTCTGATTCTTCCAAATGGTCGATCGGCCACGAACCGTGCTCTATTCGTCTAATGGAACGGTCGTCTATATTTTGCAGCCCACTAACATGTGGTTCACCTACAATGATGGAATCTTGGGGTCCTGGGAGGACTGGTACACCCCCGCCCGCTCTT